TAAATTAGGGGTTACCCTCTTAATGCTACAGGGGTTCACGGGATACAGGGCTCTACCAGCCCCGGGGAAGAAGTTAAAAAACAGAGATCGCTCCACTGAGAACACAGTGTAAATAGTCTTAAACTTTCCATTTCCAGGGGCGAGGCTGGACAGATCCTTAAAGCCTTTCTTCACAGATAAAACATATTAACTGTTCTAATTAATACTGAAAGCAAGGAAGATTGTAGGAGAAATTCTTTTCTCCTACAGACACAATTAGGCAGTTTTCAAGTAGCTTTGAGGACTGTTAAAGCCACTGTTTACGTGTGATCATTCTATTTCCATGGTACAGGGAGCTCCCTAGCTTGGGCATTCACACTAGGATGCCCTAGAGCCAAACGCTGCCTGCCATGTTGCCCAGTGTGGATACAAGTGCAGAGCCAGGGCTGGCATTCGTCAGTACACAATCTAACCAACTCTCTTTCTCAGATAAACATGGGATCTTAGAACCAAAGGAAAAATGCAATGGTGAAATGCTAATTAGGAATCCTTCCGTGTGAATTCACTGAGCACTTATCTATTCATTATAACAGATTCCCCAAGGGCCTTCACTAAGGCAACACTGTCAGATACCTCGGAATGACTGGTGCCTTAAAGAAATAAACCTGCTTTCTTTAAAAAATCCCTCAAACTGACCTCCTTCCCTTCTCAATGAGGTTTTACTGTATAATTGAAATACTAAGCAGCTTAAAGGCCTTGGGTTTTTTTAAAGATATTTGGCAAGAAATGTTATTATTTTTTTTAACAAGAGACAAGTAGTGTAGGTAGCCACAGATTTGCTAGACTTTATCAATAATAATATCACTTCCAAAACTATCAATAAAATTATTTTAAAAACAGAATATGCCCAGAGCACTTTGCTTTACAGTATGCTGTCTCATCCCATCCTCACAACAACAGGTGTTATTATCATCCAGAGGAGCAAATGGAGACTTGAGAGAGATTAATGGCTTGCCCAGGGTCACACAGCTAGCAAATGTCTAGAGAAGAATTGAGCTCGGGTCTTCCTAACACCAAGGACAGCACTCTAGGGACTGGGAAACCTTGCTGTCTTTCAAAAACCACTGGAGGATAATAACTAAAGAGGAAAGGTGGAAGGATTATTAAGGTTTTGTCCAAAAAGCTGTCTTTGCATGTGATGCCCATTTCTATGGGCTTACACTGGGGGGCTGGGACTATGGCTTCCCAGTAACAGGCTGCTTTCCTTGGGGTCTTGTGGTCTGAACACTCACTCTAGAGGAAAAGGATTTTGTTTTGTTTCCTTTCCTTTTTTTAAAGCCTGAAGAGACACTCCCCATTAGCTGTGTCCTGCCTGGTGGCCAGAAACTACAAACCCAGACCTTTTCCCTGATTCTGGTTAGGGGAGAAGCAGTTAAGTGTGCAGAATGAGGATGGATGTGGATGTCACCAGCGCAAACCCATTCCCACACCTGGGGGAGAAAGCCTCCCCACAAGCTCACACTTATTATTGGAGTATCTCTTTCCTATTTTAAAGGCAGCCAGCACAGCAGGCTCAGCGCCAGCTAATGACTAATATGGTTAATCTGAAATTAACACCCTCATAATCTCTAACCCTCCTGGGAATCACAGTGGGGACCAATCAGAGGATCAGAGGAGCCCTGATCTAGAGGAGGAAGGCACCTAAGAAGCTGTCCAGTGCAAACTCCTCATTTCATAGATGGGAAACCCCAGTTTCCCACAGGCAGTGTCAGAGGTTGGATTTAAACCTGGTCCTGTGAGTTCTGAACATTGTGTCACTTACTGCATGTGTGATCATCTTCTCTCTCAGATTTCTCATCTGTAACATGGAGATAATAATAGCACCTACCTCCCAAGGTTGTTGTAAGGATCCAATGTGATAATACTGTAAAGTGCTTCACAAACCTTAACGCATCACGGAAATTCTAGTCATCATCGTCATCATCATCATCATCATCAATTACCCCACCCCTCCCAACTTCTATCAAAGAGCAAAGTCACAGGCTCCCACCCTTGTGACAAGGAGGTGGAGGTTAGAAGCCCACCTCCCTTCACTTCCAGCCTCTCGACTTGTCTGGGAGCCCTTCCACCAGAAAGACCACCCCTCCCAATGGCCTCAGATGTGTGACTCTCACCAAACACCAGCCTTGTTCCCAGACCTCCAATAGAACCAACAGAATCCAGAGCTGCCGCGTCAAGGAACTGGCAAGGACCCCAGAGGGAGAGCACTATTGTGGAAAGAATTCTACACTGCAGTCATGAAAGGCCCAGTGTGAACCTAGCTCTGATACAGCTTCTGCGACTTTGGATGAGTCCCTTAACCTCACTGAGTTCCCCTCATCTGTAAAATGGGTATATATAATACTGATACGACCAATGTCACAGAGATGTTGTGAGCCATGTGCATGGCAAACCTTGAAGCACTAGAGAAAATGTGAATTTGTAGCATTAACCAATCCACCCCTAAAGAAGAATCTTTCCTATGATACAATGCCCAGCACACAGGAGTAACTTAATAAATGCTTACAGACTTGACAACATCCCCAACATGGGGTGGGCCAACTTCTTTTGCTTATAGATCTCCTATCAGTGGCCCACCCCATTCCATCCCATCTCAACACATTCCTTCCCATCTCATCTAATCCCATCCCAACCCCATCCCAACCCCATTCCAGCTCATTTTGGGAGCTCTCATTTGTTAGGATTTTCTTTTCCCCCATATCAAGCTGAAATCTTCCCCTCTAACAACTTCCCCCTCCTCCTAGGTCCATCCCTTGGAGAACAAGTTTCATCTCTGTTCTGCAAGAGAGACTTTCAGCCAGGCCACACTGCTTAACTGTCTACTCTTTGCCCACGCAGCCCCGTCTTCTCTTTACCAATCTAAATATCCTCAATTCCTTCAGCTGTTAGTGATGGAGGGTTCAGTACCTGCACAGGGGTCTAAGTCAATGATTAGGAAGTGTTTCCTTATATTCCCATCTCACTCATTTGCTCCTAGTCCTAATCTTTCTTCTGATCCAGTCCAACACAATGAGCATTTAAGTGCTTACTATGTACCCACCACCGTGCAAGTCAGCTGGGACAAGAAAAGAGTCCAGTGTCCAGCGCCTGGTGCTGGTAAAAGGAAATCCAAAGGAAGGAAATTCTGCATACTGATATAGGTTGAGGGACTTGCCCAGAGCTGTAGCCAGGTCTCCCTGGTTTGGGGGTTGCCTCCTTAGTTGCTCAAAGACAAAAACCAAACAATCTCAGCCTTCAAAAAGTATATTACATTGGGCCTGGGATGGGAGGGGAGGATAAATTACGGAAAGCTGACTGATGGGTACACGACCATCTGGGGACTGAGGTAACATCTAGGACACAGGACAAGGAAAGGCTTCTTAGAAAAGGCTTGGAGGAGGCTGGGTTCTAGAAGGTGGGGGTGAAGAGGGCAAGCATGCCAGGCATGATGGAGGCAGTCTGCAAAGGGAAGGGGGGCAGGTTTGGGGGCCAACAAAGCTGGAAAGGTAAGTTGGAGCCAGGCTGTGAAAGGCCCTAAATGCCAAGTGTGACCTTGGACAAGTCAGTAACCTCTTGGGGACCTCAGCTTCCTAATCTGTGAACTGAAGAAGCTGGGCTATATAGCCTCTGAAGCTGCTAGAACACTGACCTTGGAGAGAGGAAGACCGGGGTTCAAATCCAACCTCAGACATTTACATTTACTCAGCAGCTACCTGGTCAAGTCACTTACCCACTGTCTGCTTCAGTTTCCTCTACTGCAAGATGGAGATGATAATAACACCACCTACCTTGAAGGGCTATTGTGAGAATCAAATGAGATACCATTTGGCAAGGGCTTAGCACAGTGCCTGGCACTTCATAGTTGTTTAACAAATATTTATTCCCTCCCATTCACCTTTCTCCTTCCAGCTATATATCTATAACTCTGAAATTGTTTTCTTTGTCTCCAGAGGACAGGCCCAGAAACAAGAGGTAAAAATTATAAAGGCTTCATGTCTGGAACAAATTTCCTAGCAATAGTAAGTTTCCAGACCAAGGGAGTGGCTACCTGGGCTTTACAAACATCAGCCTGGAAGCTGCGTGCCAGGTGACCTAGAGAGTGTGAGCCCAGAATGGTCCTTAGACTGGAGGAGGTCAGTCAGAGCAGGAAGAGAGCTTTCACCACAGACTGGTAATGCAGTGCTGTCTGACTAATGCACTATTTTAGAACAGCTCTGGAAGGGACCTGGAGGTCCCTGGAAGGAAACCAAGAGCCCTGAACTACACTCCAGTTTCAACCCCAACTTTGTCATTTGTTTACTAAATGAGTGACCTTGGTCAAGTCCCTTCTCCTCTCCTACAAACGGGACCAGCTGACCTGGAGGCTCTCTCCAGCTCTCGAGATTTTCGCCTATGGATTCTAGGGCACAACGCAAGGACACTACTGTCCTGCCAGCCTGAATCTTCTCTCCTGACCCCAGGCTATGTACCCAAGTGGTAGGGGTCATTAAGTCATTAGAAATAATTTCAGTCCAAGTCCCCCCCCCCCTCATTTTACAGATGAGGTAACTGAGGCTCCGAAGTGGAAGTGATGGTCCAAGTTCACGAGAGACTCACGGAACAGCGAGGCCAGCTAGTCAGGACGCTCACATTTCACAGACGAGGAAACTGAGGCTGGGGGTGGGGGCGGGGCTGAGGGGGGGGCCGGGGAGCGCCTTGTCCGAGTTCATGGAATCATAGAACTTGACGCAACGGACAGCGGAGGCCATCTAGTAAGATCCTCTCATCATACAAATAAGGAAACTGAGGCTCCGAGGGGGAAGTGATCGCCCAAGTTCATGGCATCGGAGATCTAAGCACTCAAGGGACCTCGGACACCCCCCAGTCCGACCCTTTCATTTCACAGAGGAGCAAGCTGAGGCTCGGCGGGGCTGGGGGCGCCGAGGCCACGCGCTCGGAGCCCGCCGTCGGGCAGCCGTGCGGGGCGGCTCGCGGGGGCTCACCTGGCTGTGCGTGTCGGGCGGCAGGTTCCGCAGCAGCACCTTCCTGCGGTTGCTCAGCTCGCGCCGCGTCCTCTGAAGCCTCCGCGCCACCTCGCCGGCCTCCAGGGGCTCCGGGGGCTCCGGGGGCTCCCGGGGCTCGGGCTGCGCGGGCGCCTCGGCCGGCGGGGGAGCCCGGGGCGGGGGCTGCGGGGCCGCCGCGGGGACCGGCCCCGGCTCCTCGGGCTCCGCCGCCGGCTCCTCGGCTCCGCCGCCGCCGCCTCGCGCTCCGGCCCGGCCGCCGCCATGTTCCCGAGGCTCCCGATCGCCCCTGTCCCTCTCGGCTGCGGCCGAGCCCGAGAGCTCGAGGGCCGGGGAGGCCCGGCGGGGCTGCGGGGGCAGGAGCGGGGCCGAGCCCAGGAGGCCGGAGCCCAGCGCAACGGAAGGGAAGGGAAGGGAAGAAAGGCGGCGGCGGGGCGGAGGCGGTGCCGCGGGCAGGCGTGGGCGGGGGGAAGGGGAGGAGAAGGGGAGAGCCCGCCCGCCCCGCCCCGCCCCGCCCCGCCCCCGCCTCCTCCCTGGCCCGCCGGGCCCGGTCCCCCGCACCCCCCACCCCACCCACCCTGGAGGCGCAGGGACCCGACTGCGCTGTGTGAGCGCCCCGGGACGGCTCAGCCTCACACCTGTGCTAGATGCCTTCGGGGAGGGGAGGGACCTGGCCCTGCTTCTGCCCGTGCCTTCTCCTCTGCCCCTCTGCCCCTGCCCCTGCCCCTCTGCCCCTATCTCTGCCTCTGCTGTGCCTCGCCCTCGCCCGGGGACGTAGGATGTCGGAGCGAGGGACTTACCTGGGAACCGAGATAATCAGAGCGGAAGGGCAGCTTAGTACCCAGAATGTCAGAGGAATAAGCGACCTGAGGCTGTGCAGTGTCAGAGTGGGAAGGGTCCTTGGGGTACAGGCTGTCAGGGATGGGAGAGAGACCCTAGAAATTAGGAAGTTAGAGCTCAGAAGGGCCTTACAACTGTTGGCATCGGAAGACATCTTAGAAGTCGACAAGTCAAGGAAGCTCCTACTATGTGCCAGGCCCCGTGCTAAGTACATGCAGAATGAAAGTCTCTGCCCTCACGGAGCTTACGTCCTAATGGGGAAAGACGACTTATAAAAGGGAGGTGTAGAGAGGTTGAGGAGGGGGGGAAGTGGAGGAGGCATGATGGAGAAAATGCAGAAAGGGATGAAAACTATGTCTGGCCTGGGCGCTTTCCTTAAAATCAATCAAACGTTTATTAAGTACCTACTTTGTGCCGGACACTGTGCTAAGAACTGGGGATTCAAAGAGACAGTCTCTGCCCTCGAGGAGCTTACACTCGGGGGGGGGGGGACAACATGCAAGCAAATATATTCAAAGCAAGTTATATATAGGAGAAATAGGAAATGATTAACAGAAGGAAGGCACTAGAATTAGAAGAGGTCGAGAAAGACTTTCTGCAGAAGGGAAGATTTTAGTTGGGACTTAAAGGAAGCCGGGGAAGTCGGTAATGAGAGGGGAGGACGAAGAGCATTGTAAACGTGAAAACAATCCCAAGAAAATGCCCAGAGCCAGAGATGGAGTGTCTTATTCTAGATGGAGAGGGTCTTGTTTGTGGAGCAGCCAGGAAGTCAGTGTCACTGGTTCTGGATGGAACCCACCAATCAGAAGCCGGGGAGTGCAGGGGCAAAGTGTACGTAGAGTATCGGAGTTGGGAGGCACCTTTCAACACAAAATGTCCCTTCTACGTGAAGCCTTTCCTGCTTCTTCCTAACTTCAAATGCCTTCCTTTCAATAAGTACCTTATTTTCCTTACACACACGTATACATGTACATATAGACAAATAGATAATCTCTTTCATTAAAATATAAGGTCTTTGAGGTCAGCAAATGTTTATTTTTTAACTTTCTATCCTAAGCTCCTGGTACACGCCTGCTTGACTGAGTAGAAGGGATTTTAGAGCAGAGTCTTAGACAGTGGAATTTCAGAACCAAAATTGATCTTAGAATACAAAAGGTCAGAGCAGGAAGGAACCTTAGAACACAGAGTCTGACAGTGGTATCAAGATGAGGAAAGTACCTAACATCTTAGCGCCTTAACATCTTTGTCTGGGAAAAAGGAGCAAATAATTCCTGTACTACCAACCTCACAGGTTTGTTTTGAAGGGAAATACATTTTGCAAACCGTAATGCTTTCTTCCAGCCAAACTAGAGAGCCAGCTGTTCCATTTTATACAACACTGGCCCGTGGCTGGAATGTTCTAAGGCTCTAATTTATCTCTAACACTAAGAATTCTTGTCCTCCATCTAGACTCAGCTCAGATGCCACCTCCTTCCTGAAGCCTTCCTTGATGACCTTCCTTTTCAATTTGCTGTCCTCCCATACATCAACTAGTTTAATAACTGTTTGTGGATACGTCCTTCTTCTCTCCTCTACCTTCCCCCTAGAGTAAAATGTAAATTCTCTTGATGGAGGATCCTTAGCACCAACTAAAGTATCTTACAAATAGTAGGCACTTAACAAATGTTGGGTTTAATTAAAGATCTGGTGGGTAGCTAGGTAGTACAGTGGATAAAGTGCCCACCCTGGAGTCAGGAAGACTCCTCTTCCTGAATTCAAATACTGCCTCAGGTACTTACTAGCTGTGTGGTCCTGGACAAGTCTCTTAACCTTGTTTGCCTTAGTTTCCTCATTTGTAAAAATGAGAAGGAAATGGCAAAACTACTCCAATATCTTTGCCAAGAAACCCCAGAGGGTATCACAGAGTTGGACACAACTGAATAGCAACAATAGAAAAAAAAAAGATCCACACTATTTCTCATTGTGCGTTTAATTGAATTTGCAGTCTAGAGCAGAGGTTCCATTTTTTTAAATCATACCTCCCTTTGGCAATCTGGTCAAACCTACCGATGTCTCAGAATAATATTTTCAAATGCATAAAATATTTAGGGTTACAAAGAAAATCAATTATATTAAAATTATTATCCATTTTAAAAAGTTCATAAACCCAGGTTAAGAACCTATGTACTAGAGCCCCTTCCCCATATTTTTCATAACCATTACTGTCTAGCCTCATCTTCCTCATACTTATGAAGTTGTTTTTTTAAACCAAGGTGTAAGATTTTTTCTTTTTTAACTATTATGCACATTTTTTGGACTATACCTTGCAAGCATTGCCAAAAACACCCCATAACTATCTGTTTAAGGTGTGTGTTGTTTTTTTAATGAGGTATCATATGTAATTGCAAACAAGCAAACAAACCTGAAGGCAAATTAAATGAATAACAATGGTCAGATAAATTGTGGTTTATTCATGTAATTGAATATAATAATGGAATTAAGACTAACAAGGCTAAGGAGCAAACACAGTCTCAAGAGGCCTTATGAAGTATGAAAAATGCACAAGTCAGGAAATAGAAGACACACAAGAAGACCATATGAGAGGGAAATGAATGAGAAGGAATGGGTGCAGCACGCTAATGGGGACTTTGGAGGTGCGACTGACAAATTATTCTGACACTTTGTGTTGGACTTAATTAAAATCCAGATAATTACTAAGCAAGTTTAGTTGGTTACAGCTCCTTTCATTGGTAAGAATAATAACAGCTGGCCATCTTCTGTCTCAATTCTTACCTAGCCCTTAGTCATTGAATGGATGATGCCTCAGACAAACTGAGATCTGGGAAAGACTTTACTTTCAAAGGCCAAGGTCACCTGTTGCATCCCGGATCATCACTAGTCATGTTGACTTTTGTCTTACCGTTGGACTCCGATGACCCCGGAGGAGGAAGTGAGGCTAATGACTGAAATCCGACTCAGGAGCGTGTCAAGGCATCACCCTGGTGACATGACCTTCAGGATATTATTGGGCCTCTTCTAGAGTGAAAGGCGAACAACCACAGTAGCTATCATTTAAAGAGCTTTTACAATGTTTACAGAGCACTTTCTACATGCCATCTCATTTGATACTTACCACAACCCTGTGAGATAGGCACTATTATTATCCCCATTTTACAGATGAGGAAACTAAGGCTGAGAGAGGTTAGTGGCCAGGGCCACACAGCTAGTGAGTGAGGCTGGATTTGAACTCAGGTCTTCCTGAATGTCTTGTAGCCTTCTCTCTATTGCAGCACCTAACCACCTCAAGCAACATGTCCTTTGCTTTTCTCTCTTGATAATATGATAAGGCTGCGGCAGCACTTATCCCCAAGGTGCTATACTCTCCATCAACTTCACATTTTCCATTACAAAGTCAGAAAAAGGTAAGAGAATGGTTACCAGAGGGGGTGGAAGGATTGTGACAGAACTAGGGGGCTCTGAGGGAAGTTCATGCTTCAAATTCCAGGCCCTTTGCTCTCAGAAGTTTGTTCATCCAAAAATGTGAAGAGCGGCTGAGTCCATCACAAGCAATTCTCCTGCCTCCCTTATTCTACTATGAGTGAGATGCGATTGTTTAATTTAGTTTGAATGGCTCTGAAATGACAAGAGGAATGAAAGGCTTACGATTACATCTACTATAAAGAAGGGCAGATAGATGTGGATACATCACCTAGCTTGATAACTGTTTGTGGCTATCCTTAGCACTAACTACAGCATCTTACAAACAGTAGGCATTTAACAGATGTTGAGTTTAATCAAAGATCTGGTGGGTAGCTAGGTGGCATAGTGGATGGCAAGACAGCCCTGGAACCAGGAAGACTCATCTTCCTGAGTTCAAATCTGGCGACAGACATTTATTAACTGTGTGACTCTGAGCAAGTCACTTAACCCTGTCTGACTCAGTTTCCTCATCTGTAAAATAAGCTGGAGAAGGAAATGGCAAACCACTCCAATATCTTTGCTAAGAAAACCCCCAATGGGGTCTTGAAGAGTTGCACATGACTGAACAATAATAACAAAGAAGAGATTTGCAAACAAATAATAATATAAATCACATCAATTCAAATTTATGTAGTAATTTCATGTTCACCAAGCAGGTTCTTCACAATGACCCTCTGAGGTAGGTCATACACTTCATTATTATTCCCATTTTTCAGATAAGGAAAAGGGATATAAAGTTAGTTGCCCAAAGTCATAGAGCTGAACAGCATTGAAGCCAATCTATGGACTCGAGCCTCTCCTAACTCCAAGATGATGAGAGTTACTTTTGTTTTTTGTTTTTCTCCCACCAAGTCCCATTGCCTATTATGAAGAGATATACAGAACTAATTTTTGTGATCATAGCATTTAGATTTGGACTAGCATGTTAGTGATCACCAAGTTCAAACCCCAGAATGAAGTAATGCAAGGTGACATAGACAATCATTTGAAGTCCTGATCACACAATCCATTGTGTTTTATTCAAACAGTGACAGACTCACATCCATGAGGTCAGCATTCCATCGAATCCTCCAAGAACAAATAAATCTTGTTCACCTGCCTTTCCTTATTGGGCTGTATATCAG